AGACATAGTATATATTGTAAGTATATATTAGGGTCTGTAGAGGTTACTCAGCTTCATCCATGCATGTGGGGGGGTTTCCAGGCGCTTCCAGGCCGTTCCAGGGTCCAGGGGCCTCCGGGGGCTCCAGGGGCCTTCAAGGGAGCTCCACGACCCAAAAAACCCGCCACAAACGTTGTTTTGAATTGCCATCCTATGGGTATGTAGTAAATAGTAGGGTTTCCTTATCATAGTACCTTAGTTAAAGTTCCGCAACAGCAATCTAGAATCTTGCACTGCCCTGCACACTTCATACACTATGACCTACAGTATGTTGGAGGTCGGCTACAAGTGCTCCCCATCCACCGTGTGACAGTAGGTCCTATGCTTGAATCACACAGAGGCAAGGAGAGACCTCAAACTCTCAACCACCTTTGATGTAAAAGCCTACATTTTTATTACAAGTTTTTACTAAATCCTCAGGGTTATACATAGTAAGAATTAAAAAGAGGTCCTAAAGAGACTATAGATACTTGGGTTATAGTTACCTCAGGGTATGGGCCTAGATGTATACCAATGTGTCAAAAGTGCTTATCCAATTGGTAATTATCTAGGCCTCCACGCAATCCAGAACCTCTAGAATCACTACATAGTCCCAGTCTGCATGACATTTTCCGCTTGACATCCATTTAGTTCTCCATTATTGCTTTGTTCGGCCGCTACAGTACGCATCGATCCCCAGCGGCAATTCAACCCAAACCAATTGTGGACAGGAACATGTATCATCTACAGTGACGACACATGGTTGCACCCCCCAGGTGAAAACACACCTCTCACTTTCTCAAAGATATTCGTGGAACCCGAAAGCCTGAATCCTCAAACCTTTCCGGCGCCAGTTTTTCCTTTCCAAGCATGAGCCCCCTAAACCCTAAACCCTAGACCCTAAGCCCTAAACACAACATTCCGCAGTTGCCTGGTATCATCCCCTCCTTCGTGCACCCCTGGAAGCAGACTTCAGCTGGTGGTTTTGGGGTTTACAACCCTAACCACTGAGCCCAAAACCCTAAGCCCTAAACCCTAAGCCTTCAACCTAAACCCTAAACCGTAAGCCTAAACCCGAGGCTAAACCCTGAGCCCTAAATCCCAAACCCTAAGCCCTAAACCCTAAACCCTCATCAGAATGCATGCGGTACTGGCTTGAGACCTGCCAGGGCAACAATCTTAAAGGGATTCCTAGGCTTTGTATCAGAGTATATGAGCTATAGCCTAAACTTCTTGAAGGGGGGTTACATAGGGGATTACATATACTAGGGACATTCAAGGTGGATACTAGGGGTTTGGACAAAAGCTCATATAGCCATATAGTTCAGAAAATGCTTTTGCGGCTAAGAGGTTTGTAGTTCTTGATGGACGGAAGCTTGCACAAGTCTTGACTCACACAACCTTATTTCTCAGATGTCCGTCTCGGTCTCACATTGTAAGCAGGTTCTCGAAGTCAAGAAACAAGCATCGCCGTGTGTTGTATATTCACGCGTTCCAGTAGGTGACCCTGACCCTTGCCTTACTTGAGCCTACAAAGTAATTACATGAAACACTCGCCCCATGACATATTCTTGCGAAGTGAACTGCCGTCAACAGGCAAAGAACCCACGCATGTCGGAAGCATGGGCCAACTACAACCCTTCTTTTGGGGCTTGGGGGTCTACCCGGACCCCGCGAATTTTCGACATGTGTACCACGAAATAGAGGTCAAAAAGGTGAGTTACCCTCAGCCCTATAATCCCTGAACACTGAACTTCGAACCCTAAGCCCTAAACTCTTTAGGGTGTGTTCCTGACCGCCCCTGACTTGTCCAGCCCTCCGAGACGGACCACCAGACTGCTCTAGAGGCAGGACGGCGCGAATGTAATGGGAGTTTGGTTTAGGGTTTAGGGTTTAGGGGGTGGATCATGATTTTGTAAGGTTCCAGGCTAGAATCAGTACCTAGTTGGGACCCAACAGTCTATGAATATACCTCCTTTTGGAGGTGTTCATCCGTTGGGATTTCATCACCCCTCCAGGTAACAAATGTTTCGCCACTGTACAATGGTCCGCTGAACCCGAAACCCTAAAGTATTATGTCGGGAGGCGAGTATTGGGGCGATTTGCGGATACCTACTTGGAGGGTGAGGGCCTTAGTCTTAGTAGGTAGGTTGAAAATTTGTCCAGCTAGGGTTGATATATAGTTTACGGGGGACACCAAGTCCTCCTCACCCTGTATACACTAAAACCTCAAATGTGGTGATTAAAAACGGCTTAGTACATTTTGGGCATTGGGGATAGTCCCAACAATCCCCTTTTCTTATCAGGTTTCCTCTGAAGTCCTTCCTACGGTTCCAGAAAGTACCAACCTGGTTGAAAGTATTGTGGACCCCTGAACCTTAAACCCTAAACCCTAGACCTTAGACCCTAGACCCAAACCCTAAACCCTGAATTGGGGTACAGGGATTCCTAGGCTAATAGCCCTAAACCCTAATCACTCCTTAATCCGGATGCGTGAACCCTAAACTCCACGCACCAATGGTTCAGGGTTGAGGGTTTAGGGTTTAGGGTTTATCCATTGGGTTTTGGTGGGGCAATTTTGGCGTATAGGAGTTAAAGCGTGCTTACCAGGCCGCCCTGACTCCCCAATTAATCCTGCGCAGGTACCCTAAACCCTCAACCCCAAATCCTGGACCCACAATCGAAACCCGCAACCCCTAGAACAAACACCCTGAAGATCTTAGCCTTGAAGCCCACCCTACAGGCTAAACCCTAAACCCTACACCCTAAACCCCTCTCAGAGTAGGCTTAACCTAGTCGGAAATAGAAAGCCCATCCAACAGCCTGTGCTTACCAGACGTTCAAGCGGAACCTGAAAGAGAACATTCGCTACATCGGCCAGGACATACTAGGGTTTAAGGTTTCACATGCAGTGTTTAGGAAACCCTAAACCCTAAACCCTGTTTCGGATGCAGGGTTTAGGATTTATGTGTCTCCAACTGCCAATGTCATGATCCCCTTAAGGGGTTATGGGGGATGTATGGGGTTTAGGGGGAGGATAAGGGAGAGTCAAATGGAAAGGAAAATCGAACATGAACTGGAAACTGGCGCTATCTAGGGGGTTCCAGGAATCATTGCAGTTTGGCCTGTACATCATGGCTTCGATGTGGGTTTTTTCGCTTTCATGTTCAGCGCAGGGTTCCCAAGCCTAATTTGGGTACCGTATATAAGGGATTGTATAGGGGACTATTATAGGGGTTATTAAGGGGGATACTAGGGGCTTAAACACTAAAACCCTAAATCCTCAACCCTACACCCTGTTATACGGGTTATTACTGGGGAAACAAGGATTTAAGATTATGGCTCAAGTGGGGAGCTAGGACGTGTAGTACATGGGCCTGGTAAGGGAACCTATGATAGGATGAGAGTAGGGATCCGGGGCGGTTTAGGGTTTAGGGTTTAGGGGTTTAGGGTTTAGGGTTTAGGGTTTAAGGTTTAGGGTTTAGTGTTTAGGGTTTAGGGCTTAAGGCGTTCAAGTCTTTATGTCTCCCTAGACCCTACATGGGTGGTTGTCAAAATTATGGTCCCTCGTTGGATCCTTATTATAATACGGCACCTAATATTTAGGGTACCCAGAAAGGACCATAATTTTGACAGCCACCCACATACTAAAACCATCTAAAACCCTTCTCCGCGGGACCTTCTCACTCAACGCATCGACTTGGCTGCTATGGAAATAGTGTTTACCCACAGAATACAGTTTCAGGGAAGGGTTTTCCTAGGTACGTAAAGGATGTACAGTAGAGGGGGATCCTCAGCGTTGTATGGTCTACGATTTAGAGTTCGGGGTGTAGGATTTCGAGGAAAAGTAGTAAGCAGTGGGTTACTGCCTCACCCAGAAAGGTATTTACGAACCCAGAACCCAAAACCCAAGAAGCCTTGAGGCTGTTGAGAGGCCTCCATGCCCCGATGCTCACTTGTGCTAAAGTGGGCACAATTCATAATTTAGGGTATATTATTGTACATTGTAGCATATTGTAGCACATTATAGCATATTGTAGTACATTATAGCACATTATAGTATATTATAGTACAACCTTTGTGTACAATTCATAGTTTAGGGCCCGAAGTAGGTGTTACTTGTAGACGTTAAGTTAAGGCCGCAAGTAAAGCTCATTTATAGACTTTACCGCCCTTGTGCCCCCAAATAAACGCCAGGTTTGCATTATTATTTCACAGACTTTCAAACACAACTTTTGGATTATGTGTAGACTTTATGGCCCTGAAGTGGGTAGAGTTGATACTGATCATTCTGCATGACCCTAGCTACCTTACAAGTTTTGGGCATGATCGTATACTATCGTCATGCAGGATGTTTCAGTATCAACAGTACTTCGAACAACCCTGAACCCTAAACCTAAATCCCTAAACCCTCAAGTTACGGTGCCCGATGTAAAATTTGGGGTTCAGGATGTAGGGTTTAGTTGTTAGGTTTTATGGTGTAGGGTAAGTTGTTGTCGTTCTTTTAGGTATAGCATTTCATGAGAAACGTGTAATCTTACACCTAACTCAGAGGGAGCATGTCGTATGGCCTCTTTGGGGGGTTGGGATCCTAAACACAGAACTTACCGTCCTCACCCTTACCAACCCTAAACTCAAGCTCAACTTCTGGAGACTACAGCTGCCACTTAAGGTCCCTAAACCCTGAAGCCCCGAAACCCGAAACCGTGAATACCCTAAACCGCAACCACGGCAATTTTTAGCATGTAGACGACCTACTGCCTACTGCAGTATTCCGACATTTAGGGTTCAGGGTTTAGGGTCTAGGATTTATGCTTAGGGTTTATGCTTAGGGTTTAGGGTTGGGGTTTAGGGTTGAGGGGAGTTTGCTCTTTGGACCGGGGAAAACCTATAGTTAATAGCAATAGGTGTGCGTATTTTGTAAGCCTGGAGTCGTGAACCCTGAAACATCTACAGTTACTAGCAATAGGGGTATGTATTTTGTAAGCCTGGAGCCGTGAACCCTGAAACATCTATAGTCACTAGCAATAGGTGTATGTATCTTGTAAGCCTGGAGCCGTGAACCCTGAAACATCTATAGTGACTAGCAATAGATGTATGTATTTTGTAAGCCTAGAGCCGTGAACAATGAACCATCTGCAAGCCGGTAGGTAGCCCAGAACTATTGTCAACGTCTCTCCTACCGCTTTGGCCGATCCCCTTATGTGGGAACTTGGCGTTTCAGGTACCCACATCCCTAAACCCTGAGCCCCATACCTAACACCCTACACACAAAGCTGTAAGTAGCAGTAGGTGCCCCTAACCCCTAGAAACTTTGAGCCCTAAACCCAGAGCTTGAGGTAGCAGCAAGTAACCTTAAACCTTAAACCCAAAACCGACAGCTGTCGGTAGCAGCAAGTAGCCCTAAACCTTATCTAGAAAGCCAGTTACCCATGATTATAGGCAACTTTCCCCTAATTTCCTACTACTTCGGGTTACTGTAAGGTAGCCCATTATTATAGGTAACTAGGCTTTCTAGGTAAGCCTAAACCCTAAACCGCTTCAGGTAGCAGCAAAAAAATCCTAAGCCAGGATGATGGAAAGGGCTGGTTCTGGCTCGTGGCTGGACAGAATCCAGGAGGCCCGTGTTTAGGGTTTAGGGTGTAGGATTTAGGGTTTGGGGTTTAGGGTTTGGGCTTAGGACTTATAAGGTTTTAGGATTTAGGACTTTGGGTTTTGGGTCTTATGATTTAGGGCCAAAGTTCTGCTGATGCGAAAGCACCTGCCTTGGACCTGCATCAAATTGCCCAAACTACCGTGGTTCTCGGTACTTAGGGTCATGCATAATGATTAGTTTCAACCGTATGGGCCCCTGACAGATACATGGATGTGCCTTCTTCTTGCTAGCTAAACAGAAGTCAGGCGCTGTCGGGGGTCAAGCAGATTGGCAAGTAGTCGACTTCAGATGCCGAATACTACAGTCCGCGGTGTCTAAAACCTGAATACCAAAACCCTCACCCATCTATTATCCTATACACCCCTGTACAATCTTTATTACATCCCTACATATGCCCAAACCCCCAAACCCTAAACCACTTGGGTAGAGCCTCCCACCGGAAAAAAAAACAGCCCCAGATTTCGAGAAGTCGTCTTGGAGGATCAGCAGGACTTAGTAAGTGGGTTAAGACTTTGGATGACTAGTGGTGTGCCCTGAACCCTAAATAGGGTTTAGGGCCTAAGCTCTACCTAGAAAGCCAGTAAACCATAATTATAGCCTGCTTTCCCCTAATGTCCCACAACTTTGGGTTAAAGTAGAACCATTATTATGGGTAACTAGGCTTCCCAGATAATCCCTAAACCCTTCGCTGAATCCCGCAGCATGCCTTCACAGGGCTCTACCTCTATGTCATGAAGACGCCGCCCTATGGGCCTGTCTGGCTGATTTGGGCTTTTGTGGCGGGGTTTTTCTGGG